GCAGAGCTTTGATGTACCTCATGCTTTTGTGAAGCTTTTGAATGGGCAGAACTGCAATTTTCTCAATCTGCACTGGCAGGAGTGACTGTTTTTGAGGGCTTCAGTGGGCTAGAGATTGCACTGTGAATTTTGTTGAGGTTTTCCATACTTGGAGGAGACTCAAACCCTGCCTGTTTTGGTTTGCTGAACCAAATTTGTAACGAAAGAAATCTCGTTTTGAATGACTTGTTTCTTAAATCTGGATTTTGTGGATCCTGATCTGGAGCTGGTTTCACTTGAAATTCAAGTGGGCTTGTTGGTTGATTTTGAACTTGTCCTTTGACGGTTTTCTTGTGTAGGATCTTCGTTTGATTGGGTGATGAATTTTTTGTTGTTTTTCATCCTGTTCACTCCTTCTTGTATTTATAGTAAAATGTTTTTCTGGAGTAGGGTGATTCTATTTAATATTGGGCGGCAAAAAGATATCTCCCCTTTTTCTTCTTAAATGGAAAGAAAATAGGATTTCTTTAGTTTTGGCAGATAGGCTCTCAAATAGGCAATCACTTCCCTGATTTTCTTGAAAAGGAACCTAATCTCTTTCCCAATTTCAACTGCCCCTTGTGAGATTTTACCCGTGATGGTTAGTTTGACTTCTTTTCTGGACAGCCCCCTGCTTTCCTGCTTATCCTTCTCTGAGATTGTAACTTGCTTATCTCCTTGGGAGAATTACCTTCTCTGTAAAAACAGAAGAAGAAAAAATCTCTGAACGTATATGTGTAAGAGGGATTTGATCTTCAAGTTTTTTTCAGAATCAGCTTGATGTCATGAACCTTTCAATCACTTCTTCTATGACAGTTGCTATTGCTGACTTTTCTTTAGCCCAGAGATGTCACGTGGGATTGTTCCTTTTTTTGGGCTCCCTCTTCTTATCATATTGGGCCTGTGAGGCCCAGATTAGTTTTGTTTGCTTTGATAAGTTTTGGGCTGGGCTCTTCTGGTTTTTGGGCTTCCATCTTTCTTTGATTTTTGCAGCTTTATTCTGGGCCTCATTTTTGTTGGGCTGGGTGTGTCAATTTTTAGGCCCAAACAAGTTTATGCTTAGACAATTATTCGTCATATTTTACCTATTAATAGATTTCTTAAACATCCTATTCATAGATGGACATTGATAATGAGAACATTTTGGACTTTGACGGTGGTACTCAACAACAAGATTCTCCAAATGTGAAGACACCAATTGAATGCTCAATAAGAGTTGAGAATGAGGATGAGAACCAAGAACACGTTGCACAACCAACTGATGAAGAACCAAACCAAGATTCTGGTGGGCGTGATGATAACAGTCAAAATAAGAGAAAGTTAAGATCTGTTGTTTGGATCATTTTAAAAAAACAAAATATTGGAGATGTGTGAAAAGCAGTGTGCAATAACTGTGGGAAAAAACTATCGGCTGGAAGCAAATATGGAACTACACATTTGCATGATCGTTTCAAAATATTGCAATTACAACTGATATGTGAACCTCAAATAACCAAAAGAAAGGGTTTATGGCTGTCACATCTCATTTTATTGATGAATCTTGGAACTTGCAAAGTCGACTTGTGAGGTAATTTATTTAGTTTTGAAAATAAAACTTTTAACATATGTTTCATTTTAAATGCCTATTATAGCTTGTGTACTTAATTTGTCTTCTTTTTTTTCTGTGCTAGATTTATATATGTGCCATGTCCACATACAGCTGAGACTCTTGCTAGTGCTTTGATGGATTGTTTGCTAGATTGGAACATTGATCGTAAGTTATCCACTTTGACTGTAGATAATTGCACATCTAATGATTCCATGATTGAAACATTGTTAGAAAAAATTTCTAGCTCACTGTTGTTGGATGGAAGTTTGTTTCACATGCGTTGTTGTGCACATATATTGAACTTGATTGGTAAGGATGGTTGGATGTTATCAACACTAGCATTGAGAAAATTGGTTCTAGTGTTGCCTTTTGGTTAGCCACTTCAAAGAGAGCGGAAAAATTTATTGAGGTAGCCCGTCAATTGAAAATTGAGAGCACTAAGCAATTAGAGCTAGATTGCAAAACTAGATGGAACTCTACCTATTCGATGCTTAAGACGGCAATGATATACAAAAATATTTTTCCTCGCTTGAGACAACGTGAGTCCCAATATAAAATTATTCCTAGTGAGCAAGATTGGACGAAGGCAAGTATCATTGCTAAAAAATTGCATATTTTTTATACTGTGACTGAATTGTTCTCTAGGACCAAGTATCCTACATCAAACCTTTATTTTCCACACATTTGTGAGGCTAGGTTGGCAATTTATGATTGGCTCTTGTCTGACCAAGATGAAGTGAAATTGATGGCCTCAAAAGTGGTAACAAAATTTGAAAAATATTGGGATACAATACATGACATGATGAGATTGGCAATTATTTTGGATCCAAGGTTTAAGATGAAATTGATTTAGTTTTATTTTCCTCTTATATATAAAGAGAAGTCTTCCTTGGAAATTGAGAGGATACGTAAATTGTCTTATGATATTGTCAAAGAGTATCAGTCCAAGTCTAATTCAAGTGTTACTCATGAATTTTATTAATCTTCAATTTCTACCTCTTCATCGATGGCATATCAAGTTGGAGTTCGGAACTATATGAACAAGTTTGAATCTTTTTTTTCTAATTCAACTAATGTTGAGCTCGTTAAATCAGAGCTGGACCATTATTTGGAAGAGTCTCTTTTACCTAGGACTCTTGATTTTGATATATTATCATGGTGGAGAACAAATGGCATCAAATATCCTACTTTGCATGATATTGCTAGAGATATTTTGGCCATTCCTGTGTCTATAGTTGCTTCAGAGTCGGCATTTAGCACTAGTGGAAGAATTGTAAGCCCCCATTGTAATCGACTTCATTCAAAAACTGTGGAGGCCTTGATGTGTGCTCAAGATTGGCTATGGAATGAGATAAAAGGTATTGAAAATATGTTATACAAATTTACCGTTAAATGTAATTGTTACTTAGTATTTTCTAATTATTCATGTTTATTGTGAATAGGTTCAAACTCTATAGCATTGTTCTAGGGCTACACATCTGATAATGATGTTGAGAATGAGGTAAAATATGAATTATATTATATAATTGATAATGATGTTTAATATCCTACTCTACATGATTGTAAAATTTATATTTTTGTTTTATTTGTGTCAGGGATCTTACACTGAAGAAGTTGAAAACATCACTTTGTGCGATTAAGATGTGTGATGACTACCTCTATAATGATGAACATGGTTGGACATGTAATTTTGATATGTATTAATTTTTATTTATTTATATAGTCTAGATTTTTAGTTAATAATAATTGAATTGATACATATGTTTGTGCTTATAGTGTTCTTTTCGTTCAACAAACTATTTTTTTATTGGTTTTTCTTCAGTAATGGGGCGAGTAGAGGAACCCGTTCCCCAATGAAGGAGAGGATGGGGAATCCCTGCTTAGAATATTACAGGTATGAATACGGGGATGGAGATGGGAATAGCATACCCATCCCCAATTCGACCCATTGCCATCCCTAACCAAAACACATTAAATTAATTATTTTGAGATGTAACTTTCTTCAATATGACACTCAACAATTATACATATACAATCTAGTAAGGACACTCTCCTACATAATTTCCAGGAGGATACTAACCACAAATAACAAACATCCAGCCATTCTTGCACTTAGCCCTAGCACAACCCACATGAGTCGAATTGCGCCAAACCACCTGAGTGTAGTGCCCACAAACATCACCAACGCATGTGTTGGAGGCATAGTCGTAGTTGGGCTTCTCAGTCACCCAAAACTTCATAGCCTGCCCGCCGGTCATTTCTCCATAGCCTTCAGCCAAGTTCTCACCATATGGCCCCTGTGAGTGCACCATTTCACACGTCTCAATCTTAAAATCTGCATACTTCTGGGCGTAGGCTGCAACGGTGTCGTTCCATTTGATTGGACCAACAGCAACCTCAACTCGAGCTCTGTTGTGTTCATCTATGAAGTCCTGGTGGGGTTCTTTGTTGGGTCTTGCTTGAGAGACATGGGTGCTTTGTTGGCGTGACTTGTGGATATTGACTTACTTTCCTTACACACCAAGAATTCCTATTATAATTATAATTGATTTACTTTAATTCTTGATTTCCTATTGTAAATAGATTTATGAATTTATTATTTACTTGCCCATTCAGGTTTCGTTGTATTATAAATATGACCTCCTACAAGGAGAACAATACATAGAAAATTCCCACAAACAAATATTCTCTCATAGTTTCATATTTTAGCATGGTATCAGAGCGGCGATCTTGGAATTGCTGACTTCAGTTTCAGACCCCCGCCGCCGCTATGAGGGTTGATGATTTTTTCTTGTATTTATTCAATCCTCATGGAGGTTGCACCGACGACTTCTTATCTCCTTGTCAACCAACCATAGCCGAGTTGAGTGTCCAAGTGGCTAAGGTCCGACAAATGCAGATTTCGACCCTAAACCTGATTTTGAATAAGGATCCTATTTTGATGACCCTAAACCTGATCCTGAATCAGGATCCTATTTTGACGACCCCGTCCCCGACTATGACGATGACCTCGACCTTGACCCCGAATCTGTCTCTAATTCAGACCCATATCTCGACTTTGACTCCGACTTCAACCCCGACTCACGCTCAGATCTCGATCTCGATCAAGATTCCTACTAAACTTGTATCATATGCATCTTTTGCTGCACAGATAATGACTTCCCGACTAACGACCCCTACCCATGGCAGAGATTGTGCATACTGTGGTGATCCGAGACACACTCGTGAGACTTGTTTTAAATTGCATGGCTACCCCGATTGGTGGGCTACTCTTAAAAATCGAGGACAATGCAATACGACCAGTAATGGTACTGGTTATGAATTCCATACTTCCGATAAGATTGATTCCAAGAGTTGGATAATTGATTCCGATGCAACTGATCATATGACGTTTGATCCTAATGATTTTCTGAATACTACACAACCTCGACGAACCTGTATTGCAAATGCCAATGGCATTACTTATCCTGTGATAGGGGTTGACACTGTTGCACTCTCATCCTCTCTCACACTGTCTAATACTTTACTTGTTCCATCTTTATCCACTAAATTGTTGTCCGTTAGTCAACTTACTGAACAATTGAATTGTTGTGTACTCATTTACCCGAGTTTTTGTTTGCTTCAGGATATTCACACTAAGGAGATTCTTGGTCGTGGTACTAAGAGATGGGGGCTATATTATGTCGATGACTTCAATCCTAGCGTGGCTAATAGTGTGACGCATCCCTTTGATAGCAAACAAAAGCAAATCTGGTTGTGGCACCGTCGATTGGGACATCTGTCTTTTAATTATGTGAAGCATCTTATACCAGATTTATTCTCAGGTTTCAAGGACTCCAACTTCACATGTGATACTTGTATTTTGGCCAAGAGTCACCGTGTACCCTACCCATTGAGTACGAACAAGTGTACTGCTCCGTTTACGTTAATTCACTCTGATGTCTAGGGACCTTCACCTATCACTGCTCCTTCTGGTGTTCGATGGTTTGTCACATTCATAGATGATTGTACACGGATGACATGGCTTTATTTGCTAAAGAATAAAAACAAAGTGTTTTCCCGTTTTCAATCTTCCACAAACAGATGAAAACTCAGTTTAATGCTCAAATCCAGATTTTTCGCTCCGACAATGGTGGAGAATTTGTCAATCATGACTTTTAGACTTACTTCCAACAACATGGAATTATCCATGAGATGACTTGTCCTCAGATACCACAACAAAATGGTGTTGCTGAACGAAAGAATCGACATCTTCTTGAAACCGCCCGAGCACTTCTGATTGGCACTCATGTTCCTCGCCATCACTGCGATGATGCTATTGTCACTGCAGTTCACCTAATCAACCGCATGCCTTCTGGTGTATTGACCTTTAAAACTCCCTTACAGGTGCTTGCGCAACACAGACTTCTGCCCTCTGTTTTGGTACTCACACCCCGAATATTTGGATGTGTGGCTTTCGTTCATCTCCACAAAAATCAACGTAGCAAACTT